TTCTCCGGCGCAAGCCCCACTGAAATCACACTCCCGTTTCATTACGAAGACGTCTGGGCAGGAAAACTTCCGTGTGCCCTTTGCTGCTTTATCTTTAAGGTTGACAACAGAAACTAGACCATCCAGGTGAGAAAACAAACAGGCACTTCAGGAAGATGCTATCAGCGAGATCGTGTCTAAACCAGTTTGCCTTTTATGAGGATTAGGCATAGGAAGGAAAAGTTCAGAAGATGTACCATGTACAAAAGACTGGAACTTTGTCTGTCTCTTTTTGTGTAAAAAAAAAAGAAAGACCCCTGCCTCTTAAATGTGATCATTTGAGTTTGCAGGTTCAGAGAAGCATCGGAATTGAAAGCCACCCAACCCAAGCCCTTGAATGATGCAGGCAATCTAGAGCTAGAGCATCTCCACTGGAGCCTCTCCCTAAAGACCTCTAGTGAGGAATAGACCCAAGGTAATTGGTACCATTGGACTATAGGAGTATGGGAAATCCAATCCCACCCCCCTACTTAGCTCATCTTTTTAATACTCTTATTTTAGAGAATTAGATTTTTAAAAAGCAAAAAGTCTACAACGCTGGAGGAAAAGGGGGATCTACCTTAACCACTTAAGCATGATGAAGGTGGGGGTGATGGAATGATAGATGTGGTTTTGTCCAAGGTACACACGTTTCACCCTGGCGGAGAGCTACCAACCCCAGAAGGCCCTCACTTTGCAAACCTGCCTTGTTAATAGAAGTTAATGCATCATTAATCGATGTCAATGCCTTCTCTCCCGTGGCCTGTTACCTTGCAAGCAAAGCCTCCAAGAAGATGGAATTAATATCCAAGCTGTTGTGCTTGAAACACACATTGTATTTTGGGACAATGGCACAATATGCAACTAGGATGGGGCAACAGGGAACAACTGCACGGAAAGTAAGTTGGGGGAGTAAAAATGGTTGAAGGAACTGCAATTCCAAGGGTGGGTTTTTCTTTTCTTGGAAAAGAAATCTAGGCATGTTATTAACATGCGTGGCACAAGGCATGCCCTTGCAGATATGACTCAAGCGCAGCAACTTGAAACATTTCAGCCCAAAGAGCCCCACCTTTGCTTGATTCAGGATAAGCTCACTGTTTTCTCAAGGGAATGGGATGTCTTCTGGCACCGGTTTTTGACTCAAGAAGGAAACTGCAAACCTGCACGTATTAAGTTCGTATTTACTTTTATCAATGGAGCATGTGAGCACCTCCAGCACTGCCCTCTGGACCTGACCAGAATTCCACAGGTGTCTCAAGTTTTAAATGGGCAAGGAATTGGGGGGGGGGTTTCAATAGCTTATTTGGAACTTTCACACAAAGCCTCAGCAAATCTGTTGTTGTTTTTTTAAAAAAAGAATAGCACAAGGATTGCACAAGGTAAGGCATTTAGGGAAGCAGTTAAGACATCTCCTCCTCTCTGGGCCTCTTCTCTTTCTCATATATAGTCTCTAGGGAGTTGGCAACATGTGTCTTGGGAAAGCTGCATGGGAGATGAGCTACGTTCTTCTTGTTTCTCTGATCAGGAGTGAGCACGTGTCAGATAACTGAAGCTGCAGGATTCTGCCCATGTGATCGAGGAAGCAGCAGCATAGGGTGTTGGGATAAAAAGTGCTTGGTTTGTGCAAAGAGCTAGGACAAAGTAGCTAGGTGCATTGGAGCAAGGAAGTGACCATTTTACCAAGATCCTACCTAAGGCACACATCTCAGCAAATCTGAATGGGCAGCCCTGCAGAGCAGAAAGATATGGCAAGTGGTGTCAACATAAATTCTATGCTCATTGTCTCCCGAGGAGCACAGCTCGCCGAAGTGGTTCTGCAAACACATCATTGCTGCCTCTCTCTTATATTGGGCTTCTCCATAACATTAAACTGAAAGATAGGAAAGAGCTATGAAGATGCATGGTCAACCTGACAGTATTTTGCAGGGTCAGTGTATGGAAAAGTATTAAGGAGAGCGATGGAATACCAACACCGTGGTTTGCTCCTTGAACGACTATACAGCACAGCAACATCCACTATCTATGTGGCTTTAGGAAAGATTAAACCAGCTTTCCCTTGCCAGGCTCTCTTGTTGTTGAACTGTAGCTCCCCTTAGCCCTAGCCAGCATGGTCCATGGTCAAGGATGGTAGGAATTGTATTCCTGGAAGCACCTGGATGAAGGAGGCTGGACTAGACAAATTCACGGAGTCGGAAAAGCAAAAGTCATTAGCCAAGGACAGCTAAAGAGAACCTCCAAGTGCAAGAGAAGCACACCTCTGAATGTTAAGCAAGGACACACTGCTACCTTAGCACCTTGCCGAAGGTTTCCTGAAGGCATCTGACTGGACGTTCTTAAGAAACCAAGATGCCAGGAGGCTATATGGTGAGTAGACATATCTGAGAGCTTGCTAGAAGAACGCATTTGATTATGTCAAATTCTGTGCGCTTCCTTCATAAAGAAAAGTACTACTAGAGTTGGTGGGAAGACATCTCAGTCCCAGGGGCCTCCAGCCTTCTACGCCTGGACCTCAGTGTTCCTCTGAAGGCCACGCACCATCCTAAGGGCTGACCCCGCTCTTCAAACTGTGCTTCTGATCAACTCTGCCCCACACTCTCCTCCTTGAGTGACATTGCCTGGCTTAAATGTGTCACCTGAACTGTAATAATGCCTCTTCCTTGCCTGGATAGAAGATGAAAAGGGTTGTGTGAGGGGTGGGGAGGATAAAGGGCTTGCCCACTGTACAAAAGAATCACATTCATTGCTTTGCAATGTTGCATTTGGCTGTGCAAACTAGCAGCTCATGGCACCTAAAAGGCTCCCGATGAAAGTACATGGCCATCAGCCTGAAAAAGGTCATCTGCTGCTCACTTATCTGTCTCTCCCTCATGTTGGCATTGCACCTCTCTACCTGGCCCCCCAAAAAGCATCTAATTGAAAATAAAAAAGTAATTGAGAATTCTTGTGTGCAAATAAAGCATCTGCCTCTGTTTCAAGCTGCATCTGCATGCATTTCATTTTGCATCACTGGGAATGCATCTCGGCTCTTTAGCATAGAGTATGATCATCCTGGGAAACAGAGCGTCCTATAAAACACTTGAGGGGGTGGGTGGCAGGGAAATCACCCTCCCCTCTGGGCTTGCCTCCCTAGAAATTTGTGCTTTAAAGCTCACATCTGAAGATCTGCCTAGAGACACGAAGTTAATGCAAACCGCTCTGTGATTAGCAATCGCTTTACAAAGATCCCTATCTCATTTCATACTGCTCCTTGAACAGAGTACCAAACCTTGGGGTGGAGAAGTTGCAATGTGCATTACAGCTGTGATGCAAGAGGTGTTAACAACTTCTCTCTGCTCTAGTTCCCTATTGAAATCCCACTCACCTGCAAACCTTGCTATCAGCCATGGAGGGGCGGGGCGGGGCGGGGGGGGGACAGTGCCAGTTTTACCAATCCAAGTCACTCCTCCTCCTAGCAACTACACGAAAGCATCAGGAACGAAAACGGCAATAGATTCTGAAGAGTCCAACATGGATCTTTCACATGATGCAGAGTTGGGCCTCGACAGGAAACATCCATTACCAGCTCTTACACCAGGGGTCAGCAAACTTTTTCAGCAGGGGGCCGGTCCACTGTTCCTCAGACCTTGTGGGGGGCCGGACTATATTTTTTTTTGGGGGGGGGTAACAAATTCCTATGCCCCACAAATAACCCAGAGATGCATTTTAAATAAAAGCACACATTCTACTCATGTAAAAACACGCTGATTCCCAGACCATCCGCGGGCCGGATTTAGAAGGCGATTGGGCCATATCCGGCCTCTGGGCCTTAGTTTGCCTACCCATGTCTTACACCCTTCACAATTCCTATGGATTCTCTTTTGTGTAGGCTTATTAACTACATTTGCTTACTTAGAAGTGAAGCCCCACCGTAGTTCACTGGTATTTACTTCCACCGCCACTCCACAAGTATATGCATAGGACGGAAGTCTTATAAAACTGCCCATTTTAGAAATATTTGTCATTTAGCAGCAACACATTTCAGGAACTGAAGTATATACGATGCAACATACAAATCAAGCACAAATTAGGAACGCCTTTAGAGGGGCAGTATTTTAGTGCGGTGGTACCTCAGAAGTCGAACAGAATCCATTCCGGAAGTCCGTTTGACTTCCAAAACGTTCGGAAACCAAGGCGCGGCTTCCGATTATCTGCAGGAAGCTCCTGTAGCCAACTGGAAGCCATGGAAGTTGCGTCGGACGTTCGGGTTCCAAAGAACGTTCGCAAACCGGAACACTCACTTCCAGGTTTGCGGCATTCGGGACCCAAAACGTTCGACTCGCAAGGCATTCGCGAACCAAGGTATGACTGTATTTTTAGCTGGGTCCTAAAAATGACAAGAACCTCGTTGAGTATTAGTAAATTATTGTTACAGTGGTACCTCAGGTTACATATGCTTCAGGTTACATACGCTTCAGGTTACAGACTCCGCTAACCCAGAAATAGTGCTTCAGGTTAATAACTTTGCTTCAGGATGAGAACAGAAATCATGCTCCAGCGGCATGGCAGCAGCAGAGGCCCCATTAGCTAAAGTGGTGCTTCAGGTTAAGAACAGTTTCAGGTTAAAAACGGACCTCTGGAACAAATTTAGTACTTAACCCGAGGTACCACTGTACTAGGAAACTTGTTGGAGAAAAGCACCACGGTCCATGGGCATCACAAACAGATGTATGCAGCGTTTTCAAATCTCCACCACCAAACACACTGTCCATTCCTGCATTGCAGGGGGTTGGACTAGATAGCCCTTCCAACTCTATGATTATACGACTATGATTCTAAGGGACAAATGCAAGGAGCTGCTGGAAGGAGGCTACAGATGCCGGAAAGAAGGGATTCTTTGGGTTGCAGCCCTCAGGTGGAACATGGCATGCAGTAAACGGTCACCAACACACACTCTCACATTTATCAACCTTTTCCCACACTGTCACCTCATTGCCAGCTCTCACCTGTGCATGTTTCCATTGGTGGTGAAGGACTGGTCACACACCGAACATTTGTAAGGCCTTTCGCCAGAATGGACCAACATGTGACGGTCGAGGGAGCTTGCAGAGCTCAGAGACTTTCCACAGATGCTGCAGGAATGGTCTGTCCCTCCAGTGTCCGTGTTATGCTAAAGAAAGCAACAGATTGTTGGTTTTGAGTTCTTCCTGTGCAGCTTCAAGGACATGTCAGTCAACTGCAACCATCATCATCATCATCATCATCATCATCATCTAAGAAGGTTTAATGCAATGCATTTAAAATTAGCATGGCATATCTGCTGCTAGCGAAAGCGACAGGAAGAGTAAGAGGCCAACCAAAACAAAAAGTCTATAAGGCTAGGAGAATCTTTAAAGAATATTTAGAAAACTATGGAATAAAAGGAAACATCTTTGCAGAATTAGACTGTGTAAAAATAAGTTTGTAGGGAGATAAAAAGAAATTATATAAGAAATATGTAACTGTGCGGTATATAAAGTAATGGATAGACAAAGTACAGTGAGATTAAATGGAAGTCAGTTTTAAATTTCTTTTCTATAAATTTTATAATTGTGTTCAATACCAGGAGTATATATGATGCTAATTATATTAATCTTCTTATATCTTATAGTGTGGTGGCTTGTTTGATTCTTCTGTTATTTGTTTGTTTGATTGTATGTTTGTTTACTTGTATGTACGTCTGTTTTTCATAAATGTATTTATTTTAAATTAATAAAGATATATTTATTAAAAAAAATAGCACGGCATATCTGGGTAAGGGTGCAATTCCATACTCCCCGAAAAGTTGGCTGAGGGGCTTTTTAGCACATGACCTAGGTGCATCTCTGCTGCTGGAGAAACAAGGTACATAGGCAAACTATGCTTATGTCACCTGAAAACCCCCTAGACACTGGCAGAAATGGGGTGAGTCAGGGAGATATAGGTATGCCGTATCCAAACTGTGAAAAGCACCAAATTGGCTAAATTCGCTTGGGACCTGAAAGGCTTATGCTGAAACTACAGACCATTTCTTCCATGGCAGAGTAGCTTTGTAAAACCTCTGATTATTTTACTTTACTACCAGAGGGGGAAGGGAACCTTAAGAAGTGGCAAAAAAATATGGGAAGGACAATAAATGCAAAAGTACAGTTGATGGAGCGAGGGAAGAAAGCATAAGGAAGCAAGCTGATAGCCTACTACAATGTCTGTGTATTTTATTGTACTGATAGCTGTTTGCCTCCAAGGAAGACACCTTCAATGGTTTTTCTAAAAGTTTTTTAAAAGTCACCGGCTTACCTGACGAATATGCATTGTCAACTGATGCTGAGAAGTGCAAATCTTTTCACAAAGAGGGCAGGTATAGGAAGACTTGTCATCTTTTGTTTCCTGCATACAAAATATTTTTTTTAATAAGAAATCAATCATAACACACGTTTTAAAAGTAATTAAAAATTGACAGGCTTGAGGTTTTTATCCCTCGCCCATTCATGCAGAGAATGTACATGCAGCAGCAAAACATAAATTTACATAGGAAATTATTCTAAATGAGACCCCTTTTAGAAAAAGAAATTTGAAATCACAGTCTGAGTCAGTGAAATTGAGTATGGTGCAGGGTGCTGGCTAGAACCTAATCCTTCGCCAGGCATTAGGTCTACCCAGCCAAAAGTCTACCCAATCCAACCCAGTGGATGACCAGATGGCTTTTTGGGAAACCTAAAAGCTAAGACGGGACGCGGGTGGCGCTGTGTGTAAAAGCCTCAGCGCCTAGGGCTTGCCGATCGAAAGGTCGGCGGTTCGAATCCCCGCGGCGGGGTGCGCTCCCGTTGCTCGGTCCCAGCGCCTGCCAACCTAGCAGTTCGAAAGCACTCCCGGGTGCAAGTAGATAAATAGGGACCGCTTACTAGCGGGAAGGTAAACGGCGTTTCCGTGTGCGGCTCTGGCTCGCCAGAGCAGCAATGTCACGCTGGCCACGTGACCCGGAAGTGTCTCCGGACAGCGCTGGCCCCCGGCCTCTTGAGTGAGATGGGCGCACAACCCTAGAGTCTGTCAAGACTGGCCCGTACGGGCAGGGGTACCTTTACCTTTTAAAAGCTAAGACATGACGGCAATGCACACCTCCAACAGTTGTTGTTTAGGGAGTAGCACTCAGGGGTAGGATCCTTGAAATAGCCCACAGCCTTCATGGCTAGTAAAACAGCCACCGATAAACTTTACCCTCCATGAATTTATTTAAAGTCCTTTCTAAGCCATCCAAACCGGTTGGCCATTATGGTTGCCCATTATTACCGCATCTTAAGGGAGAGAGTTCCATGCAATGTGCTGCTTGAAGTATGTGCTTCCTTTTGCCTATCCTATAATCTACAACCATTTAGCTTCATTATAGAAGAAGAAGAAGAAGAAGAAGAAGAAGAAGAAGAAGAAGAAGAAGAAGAAGAAGAAGTAGTAGTAGTAGTAGTAGTAGTAGTTTGGATTTGATATCCCGCCTTTCACTCCCCTTCAGGAGTCTCAAAGCAGCTAACATTCTCCTTTCCCTTCCTCCCCCACAACAAACACTCTGTGAGGTGAGGGGCTGAGAGACTTCAGAGAAGTGTGACTAGCCCAAGGTCACCCAGCAGCTGCATGTGGAGGAGCGGAGACGCGAACCCGGTTCCCCAGATTACGAGACTACCGCTCTTAACCACTACACCACACTGGTTCTCTGAGAGAGTGAGGAAAACTTCCTCTCACCCTATGCACTTTCACTACACATGCATAATGCCCTGTCTTGGAACTGCACCAGATGGCATCTGAACAAGTAACATGGAACACCTTGGTTTCTCCACCTCAAAAACGTAAGGTAGAGGTGAGGAAGCTCCCCCACCGAGCAGAGACACCCCTTTTCTCTCTTTATGCTCCTCCTCTCCTCCACCGGAGGACCACAGGTCCCTTTGCACCTGGATATATGGCTATGAATTGGGTGCAGGGGTGGTTTCAAGGTTTCCTTTCTGCACAGGACAAATTGATTTTTGCTTTAATTTGTGCGCCGCACTCCACTGCAAAGGGTACTCAATCCATACAGGGTGCTGGCAGCTGCCACCCGCACACATACAACACACCCAACATTCCCCTGCAAATTGTGCACTGCAGGGAAGCTCAATGATGAGAGATTGGCTGTCTCTCTTAATTCAAATGACCTTGTCAAACATTCTTGATCCTCCAATAAGCTTCCGATAATCCCTCACATTGCTGGAGGGGGGACTACAAGGGGAAAGGAAATGCTATGAACTTTAAAAAAAAAATAACAGGAACAGCTAAAAATAAGGAGTTTTGGGGGGATGGAAAGAGAAAATTACAACATAGTGCAAGGAAGAAATAAATTCCCTTAGCTAGCTGAAAGGTTGGCCAGTTTGAAACTTCCCCAGCTACAACTTGGCCAGGATGTTTGTGCTAACAGAAGAGATCTTCCCCCTTTCTTTTCTTTTAAAAGTTGCCCACAGGATGCTTCATGAGAACAAATCGCCCACACACCCCTGGCGTAAGTGTAGGCTTTGCATCACACCTCTATGACAAAGCAGTAGGCTTCCACCCTCAGCACTAGCCATTCCAATATCGTCTTCACATGTAGCCCCAAGTACGAGCCACACCCACTTGGCAATAAGCCCCATTTCCTGGAGTATCCCAAGTTTCCCTCCCTTGGAAGGAGATCTAGTCTCACTGTTGAAAGCTGCAAGGAAATCCTAAATAAGCTCATCGTGCCCTTTGGGTGGGAGGGTGAGCAAGAGTGACATTTGCATTCAAATAAAGAGGCTGGATGTAGGCATGATTGACACTTTCCTTAGAGCTGCTGCAATCAGAAAGTAAAATGAATCTACTCGCATGTAAGAGAAGAACACCCTGTGTTTTCTTTATTAAAGATGCCCTTGAGAGGCTGACTCAGACACCAGCCTTTCCAACCAAGGACAAAATGAGAACTTTTGGCTTGAACTAAGTCTTCTCTTGCCCAATTGTTTTAAAACAGGCAGCATGATTCCCCCCCCCCCATTCCACAGAACGGGGCACTTTTCCCCACACTTTGTTGCAGGCTTGCAGATAAGCCCATAAAAGCTACTGGCCAGCCAAGCAGCTAGTAACCTGTGTTTGTTTCCTTGCTGGCAGTACAAGGAAGGGGAACACAGACTACGAGCATCATGGCAAGCTAGCAAAAGGAAAAGAAAGACAAGGCAGGCAGACTGGTTGAGCGCAGGATATTCCTGGATTCCTCAACCTGCACAGAACTCCTGGCCGCCTACAGGAACCTGGTGATTGCTAAACACAAGGCTGCCTTATCAGTAAAGTTCAAACACTCCTGTTTCGAAAGAATCCTGCCTCCCTACTAACTCTACTCTCCTTTCGTTACTCCATTACGAACAAGGACATCATTTCCATTCTGAAGACAAGGCTGAACCGGTGCTTAAGCTTCAAGAGTCACTAAAAGTCTAAGAGTTGCATCATATGTTATATATAGCACTGCAGGTGCCCAGCTGCCTTCATCATCCTCTTTTTCTTCCCTATCAACCTGTTATTGGGGTCCGAAAATCCCCTTTGAATTCCTAGCAATTATTACCAATTTCAAAACGACTCTAGTTTAACAGAGAAAATAAGATTTGATAACGGAAAAGCGTCTGGACCCCACAACATTAACCTACATCAAGGACAGCCAATATGGTGTTCTTGAAGTACAACTGCCATCAGTCCCAGCCAACATGGACAGCGGTTAGGGATGATGGAAGCTGTAGTCCAGTCACATGTGCAAAAGCTATCTACTTATCTCAATGGGCTACCAGGGCCCATTGGATCTCAGGAGTAAGTTTCACCCTAAGGGGATTAATTTAGACCCCCCGAGTTGGCATTATCTTGACACAGAAATGACACACAAGCAGCACAAAGGCATGTTATGCGCATATGTTTTGGACTACAACTCCCATCAGCATCAGCCAGCAGAAGTAATGGCCAGAGATGATGAGAGTCAACAACATTTGGTGGGTATTATGTTGGAGAAGGCTGTTCCCTCTGCAACCATGCATATAGAGAGACATGTCTGCTCAGGATAGCATTTAATGCATCTGATGAAGAACTGAAGCTCGTGCCATAACAAATTTGCTATTTAACAGGTTATCACAAAACTCTTAAGTTTTCTGATGTGGTTGTTGCTTGGGGCCTGGGTTCTCTCCCGGAGACCATTTGGACTCATTGAATTGTTCCTATGAGATTCCGTAACACTCAGATATACAAATGCATCCAACTATTTTCATCTATCTTGTTTTGCATTAAGCTATTTTCACGTATCAGGGTTTTTAAAATTAATCTTTTCAAAGAAAATCACTGCCAATCAGTAAAAGGGTGGTTGTAAATCACCTCCTTTCATCAGTGAGAGGATCAGCCTACTGTGCAGAAGTAGTATCTCAACAGCTGCTCCGCCCACCTTTTGCCTCTGACTCCACCCACTATGGGCATGGGTATTAAGATTCCTCACCCGTCCTTCAATCCACTTATATTTCCAGCCTTTGCCATTTCCTCTAGCTGCGTGTCCCCTGAAGCTTAAAGATCATCGGGTAAAGCAATTTCTTTTCCCTGGCCTTGAACCCTGCTGCCTAACGAATTTCAAGGGTCTGAAACAGGAGACACCCACCTCCCCCTGACTGCCATTATTATGACGATGCATATTTTGCCTAACGCACCTATGTGCGTGCACATGTTCCCATCCAAACACTCATGTGCACCCTGCACACAGCACCTCCCAAGGACCTTTCGTGTTAGTTTATAGGAACAGCCTTCAGATCCAATTTTACTGCAGCCCTGTTAAATGTTGTCTCAGAGCCGAGAGCACAAACAATATTGGGAGGAAAATCCTTGCAGCTGTGCTGACCATTTCAATGCTTAATCCCCAGGGCTTTTCTCTGAAATCAGGCTACGGTTCTCCTTGCTGGAGGAAGGAGCTAGCTATCTCTCAGTGCAATGCTATTAATTGTTTCGAAGCCTTGCTTTCGACAATGGCCCCCTTTGAAATCGGCAAATCAACAAAGGGCGATTACTTCTCACCTTGAAAGCAAAGAGCAACATGCACAGTGTGACACTGCCAGAGTTGATTAGTGCAAGCCTTCAGATTTAATATTAACCCAACCCCAAAAAACCTCTTCCTAGCACTCACTCAGGGTCCAGGTTGCATACCATAATAGCAGTGAACCAAACAAGAGAGCAGCAGTCCAAGGAAGAGGATTTGTTTGACTCAGTCTCAAGCACAAACAGTTTAGCATAACTTATCCAGCTTGGGCTAGAGAATTTTAACATGCAGCTCTGCGATGACGGAAGAGTACTTCCCCAAGTTAAGAGACAAAAGTACCAGCTAATTTGATAACAACTCTGACTTTATTAAAGTGACCCGACACTCCTCCGCTAGCAGCAAACATCTCTTTAGGCATTCTGTGTTACTGTTACTCTACTTTCCCTTTTGTAGAAGGAGTCAAAAGAGCCCCCATTTCGTGACACAGATTAAAGGAGGGGAGGAAACATGTTGTGATTTTCAACAGGATATAATCCTAACCAGAAACTAAGTCGTCTGTCACAACACGCACTTAATGAAGGAACTAGAAATTAAAATGGCTAATGAAACCTTGACCAAAATGTTATTTCCACAAAAAGGTGATGCAACATATGATGGATTTTTAAGAGCTAAAGACTAAAAGTTTTACTGTCAGTTGGCCAGAAGAATAGTCAAAGGCGGCTCCCAAATAATCCAAAATCCTACTATATTTGGGGCAGGAATTCATCTGGTTCTACATTCTATGGAAGTGTCCAACCAAACACTTTTAGAAAGTGTATACGCAGCTCCTAAAAGGCCACCAACATCTCTTCTGCTTGGTATTTCCAAGGCACACAGCTTCTTAAAAAAATGGTTTCATTTTTCTATCAAGACCAATCTTCTTGTTCTTTCTTCTTTGGTGATCACTTGTAGCCGAGTAAGACTGTCTTCCATAAACACAGTTTTAACAACACTGTGGAGGCCAATTCTGGACCCACACGTCCTTCCACAGTGGGGACATTGGTTCCCGGGTGGGAGTTGATTATGGTGTGGATTTGCCATGCATGCCTTCCTCTTAGCATGTTTCTCCCCTGCGTTCTGAGTTCGAGTGTCTTCAAAGTCCATGACACCTTTAGTAAGGCTGTTCTCCAACTGGAGCGCTCGCAGGCCAGTGTTTCCCAGTTGTCGGTGTTTATACCACATTTTTTTAGATTTGCTTTGAGACAGTCTTTAAACCTCTTTTGTTGACCACCAGCATTACACTTTCCATCTTTAAGTTCAGAATAGAGTAGTTGCTTTGGAAGACGATAATCAGGCATCCGCACAACATGACCAATAGTACCAGAACAACCACAGTAAGACTGATTGCCGGAAATCAAACAATACACGGTTCTCCTCTCTCTCTCTCTGCTCCCACTTCTCTCACCATGCCAGAGATTTCCTATGCACAATCTTGCAATTGCCACTCCCTTCAATTAGACAGAGGGGACTGCTGTATGGTGAAAACACTTTACCCAACCTGCAACAGCCTTGGCGGGTAGCTCCCCCATGGGGAAAAAAATGGGGCTCATTTGCCTGCATGCTGTCTAGGTATCACAGGATGGTTTGAACAGTAAAACCTAATTAGTAGCTAACTTCTGTGCTGACCTACAGGGAAAGCCATTCTTGGCCTTCCTCCCTTATTTATTTATTTTATAGCGCAAGTATCTCTCTTAATCCCGTCACATTTTCTCCCTTGATCCAGCGCCCAGTGAAACGGCTGGTGGAATTAAAAGGTCAGTGGCTCCAAGCAAAAAACGACACAGAGCCAACCCACCCACCCTTCATGCTTTTGCAGCAGCCAGCTGTACAGTAGGGTCTTCACCACCCACCCTGTTCCAAAGCTGAGCTGCAAAATTTTGTCCTCCCTGAAGGAATCAAGCTAAGAAGCCCCTGATAGGGTATGCAAACACACACAGTGTTCTGTGAGTTATACTGCAGAGTATCCAACAATCTGACTATCTCTGGGATCAAAAATTTCTTGTTATCCAGTGTTACGATAATCTTTATTGCCATTGTCCCATACAGAACAACGAAACTGAAAAAAATCTACATCAGACATTCAAAAACCAACAAGCCTGCTATCCCAGCCTGTGTTAAGTTATACCCAAGCCTTGGGTCAGTGGCGGGAAACACACGCTTTGCCAAGCTGCACTCAGTTCCCAAGGAATTTTGATCCTGCCACAAACTCTTTAAAAAGATTCGTAAGAATTGCAGCATTCGTTTTTGTTTTATTTTAATTCCAGCAAACTAGTAGGCTGTTGTTTCTGGTTCACATAGAGAAGATATGGGCTTTAGAACACAGTGGCAGGTCTTTAAATTAAAAAATTGAATGTCTTGACAGTTGCATTTGACCATTTGATGCGTTCTTTCTTCAGCTCATGATATTGAGAACTGGCCTCTGATCACATGCAAATTAAAGCATTCAGACTAGTTCACGACGTAATGGGTGGTATCCAACCAAGAGCTTCCAACGCATGGACTTCTGGGTGAGCAATGGGATTTTGCACTCCCTCTCCCCTGTGCACCCTATGTTTGTTCTGGGTGTCTACCAAACCCCCAGAGCAGATTTGGGGAGGGCACAGAGGGAGAAGTCCTGCAATGCAAACAGAAATCCTTATGCTAATGGGAATTGGATACCGCCCAATTTCTCCAAGGGTGTGCGCATAAGCGCGCTCGGTGCCCTCAAAACAGCTTCATGTGAAATGGCATTCATTTATATCAAAGTTAAGTGTGTTGATTCTTTACCTGGTTTCTCCTGCCAATCCGATTGGGAGCAAGAGGTTTCGGTGGGGACTTGGCATTCTGAGATGGTGCGGTGCCATTTTCAGCGATCTTCCCCAAGCTCATAACAGCTGCCATTATGACGCCGACACGCGGCAAATCTGCGCCTTCAAAACAGTTTGGGAACTGTGGTGCCGCTGCTTTTGGGCAACCGCTTTAAGCCTCCGAGTTTATTCTCTGGAACTGTAAACAGAAACAAATTGGGTGGTGAATTTCTGAGATGGAGAATCAGATCAGTCATGGGAGCAACAAACCCATTAAGAGCTAGAATGGGCGGCCAGTCCTGGAAAGGTATACACTATTGACTTTTTGTACACACAAAGCAATTCCAAATCATACAGAGCATTACATCTTGAATGGGAATCTGTGGCCCAAGTTGCTGTTGGACTCCAACTCCCATCAGCCCCAGCCAGCATGGCCAAGGGTCAAGAAGGATGGGGGTTGCTGAACTACTAGTGTGCCACAAGTTTAACATCCCTGCATTGAACATGGTGGTGTGGTTGCCACTGAAAAGGCTTCCACAATGCATAATCAGCAAGATCCACCTGGTCCAATTGCAAAATTTCCACACAGTGATATTGCAAAATTTCCAGTCAGTGATATAGGGCCAGACCACACAATCTGGCCTATCCATACTGGAAGCCAATTACAGACATTATAACCACTGCATGGAGACGCATCAATGCAAAATAAATTCCTTCTACGCTAATGCATGAACCAGGCCTTCAGTTATTCTGGTTAGGAAGACCTCTGTGGATTATTCACTTTTAAAGAACAGGAATTCTTAAAGGCATGTTAAATTGAAGCACATGTACAACTTAACCCCATGTATAGTTACTCCAAAGTGAGGACACTTTGGAGTTATCATTGCTTAGGGTTAGATTATTTAATCACACTTATTCCCAGAGTGTTTAGAACTGTGGCACTGATGTATAAAGAAAAACAGAACTTCCATGCATCACCATTTGGGCTAATGGAAAATCAATTTTTGTCTAGTTATCTGGCATGACCAGCTATCCACAATGACATACTGTTTTAAGCAACAGCGACATAAATATTTACAGGATAGCTTTATTCTTAAACCAGTCATTCTAGCAGAGCCAATTACCTTCATTTTCCTTTCTTGACACTGTCTAGTGAAGCTTCCTTTCCTTGTGTGCTGCTTTTCGGTATTTGCCTAACAAGCTGAAGACCACCTAAATCCAGAAGAGATCCTTTCCTCAGCAGCACCTGTTAGCAACAAGTGAGAGAAGAAGGGAATAGGTTAAGTTTTTTTTTTCAAGGAGGGAAGCTGAGAAGTAGTGTTTAAAAAAGAGAATTTGGTACATATTCAGTTGCCGAAAACAGAAGCAAAAGCAGCACAAAGGATTAGAACAATGGATCTCTTCTTACATAAAACTTTTTCAGCTAGGTAAAACTTTAAAGATGAAGGCTTCATACAGGCTGTCTCCACACGCAAACACACAATGTCTCGTTCTTGGGAGAGTACAGTACAACACAAATTACGGAGGAAACAGAGATGCCTCCAAATATTATCAGGTTAAGAAAAGCAGTAACAATACAGGAACTATAAGAGCTGCTCCACTTCAGACTAACAACTGAAAATTTAATTGTCTTTTCAGTCAGCTCCTCACAATCTACCCATAAGAGCTGCATCAGACCCACAGCCCAACTATACCCAGCATCCTTCACTCAAAGCAGCCAACCAGATGTCTGGTTTTATTGCATTCTGCACACTGCCTTGAGACACGTGTGAAAGGCAATTAACAGACTAATGATAATGATAATAATCCAGTGCATTTTTCAGCCAGAACTTGCCGGAACTCAGATCTGGCATCTCTCAGGTGGGTGCCATTTCCATTCTAAGAGAACCAGGGAGGTGTTTGTGGTGAGTTCCAGCACCTCTTTTTTTTAAAAGAAAAATAGTTGACAATAATGCAGCACAGAGGTTTGGTTTCAAGAATCTGTAATGCTTAGGAGTCTTTCTGAGGCCTTGGGCCCTTCACAACGTGCTCAGTTGCCTATAAGGTCCCTGCCTTCACACCTTCAGGGGAACCTTCTGCCACTCAAAATGTTGATGGAAAGCTAAGAGTGCCGTTTTCATGGCCGTATTCTCATGAAACGCTTCCCTGAGGAAACTGACCTTTGCCCTCAAGGAGTGAGTTCCCAGGACATTCGTGTACGTCTGATGAAAGCTGCACAGAAAACGGCCAGCTACGCTATGAAAAAAGGGACCCGCTTAGATCAAGGGTAAAAACGAGAAGTATTAGCAGAGGTTAAAGTTCGCAGGAAGGCTCCACCACTTCCATTTTGATGCTGGCACTCTTAAGGAGTGGGGCGGGGGTGGGGGGGGGGAAGGCACTACCAGAACTGTAGGCTGGGAGATCTGTTGCAGACATAAACAGGCTATCAGAAGCTACAGGGCAGCAAAAGAAAACGGCTGGCTTTTGACAAAGGCCAGCCCTGAAGCAATACCACAGTAGTCAGCCAAAAACATCCCGAAAGAGGAGTTTAAAACAAAAGTGATGGGGTGTGGGGGTGTGGGAGAGAGAAATGAAGTTAAAGTACGTTGCTTCCCATTCAGTCTCAACAGGAAAACATTTGCTAAATCTATTTCCTCCTTTGCAATTCTTTTTTGAAGTGCTATTTGACTGAATGCTGAAAACTCCGACGATATTCACTCCCTGTAAATTTGCAATATCAAGGGGGGTCGCAGTAAATGGATGTTTACAGCATCTTTTCTTTCCTGAATGATAAGAGGAAAAGGCCACCTTTTAATTTTCCTTTTCCTCTCTCCATCCCCCACCCAGCTCAGCCGTTCAGGATGCTAGCGTCTTTGTTTTACTTGTCATCAATATGCTTCTGCAAGCCAGAGTTTCTCTGGACAGGCTTTTGCATTGAGCACTCCTTTCTCTCCAGCCACTGACCTCTGAAGTTTTGGGTTTGCTCTTGCTTCTAAGATGCTGGTGCAAATAGGACCCTGGTGGAAGGTTAGCAACTGGAGGAGTCAGATCTGTGTCAGCACAGCTGGAGGACTAGTACAAAACTACCTAGAAGAAAGAAAAGCAAGAATTAAAGCTCTTCACCAACTGCAGTTTGTTGTTTCTTCACTGCATTTCTTGTCACTGGGTGATTTGGGGCCTGTTGCCATGACCTACTTCACAGGGTTATTGCGAGGAAATCTGCAAAAGCAGGAAAAACGTATGCTACTCTAAGTTCCTTTGGCAAGGAGTAGGATAAAAGTCTTGAAAATGAAATACTTTAAATGGGGACAGTTCGATAAATAAAGGAATCCTGGAGCAAAGAGGACTCTTTCATATTCAAGCATATAGGTCACTTTGAACATCTCTGTGAGGACTAGGAACTGAGGAATTTATTTGGCACATGTTTCACAGTAAGCCAACCCAATACAGCAATTCCAAACTTGCTTGTGGACCTGACTGCGACCTCCAGCCAGATATTGTGATGTAGTTTTGGTGTGCAAGAAGTACACACAAAAATGTGCATTTGATGTACAAAATGCATGTACCTTTGTGAACAGGGTGGAATGCAACTATGGTTGAGCACCAAACTGGAACAGGACTGAATTAGACTGCTCAGTCCATTCCTAATGAGGAGTAGAAACTTGTATTTTAATGAAAGGTGGCATTCTTAGAGCACAAGCCTGCAGAATGTACTAAATTGGTGGTTGCCTGATGCATGCATCTACTTTGGCTCAATGAGTTTAGTATTTGTGAAATTCGGTAGGTCTGGCGGTAAAGATTCATGGTGTGGAATCTAAATGTCTAGCAGCAACAGAAAAGCCCTCGGTCTTTTGGACAGACTCTTCCATATGATGAAAACAAAACTTGATGACCTAAGCCAAAGGATTGAGAACTCAGCGCCTGGTACTTGGCATATTCATTTTGTGTCAGCAGAGTGCAAGCCTCTAATTCCCCAAAATATTTCTTACTGACTTTCATAACTTTCACAACTGGCTCAGTTCATGAGCAGCTAAAGGAATCAGCCACTGCATTGCCTTTCTGTAATTAAGAATATAGGCATGGCTGAAGGTCTATGGTCCTCCTAGCTAGAGATAAACTTTTCAGAAAATTCTACGCATTGGAGGAAAGAGAAAATAATTCGTTTCCTTCGAAAAACCTAACAGAACATTTCATTCTCTGCCCTACAGGTTTTAAGACTAAATTCTAGTTGGCTGAATCATTTTTATCCTGCCTCAATGCCAGAAGTGCCCTCTTGGTAGCGAACAATAAATGGAATTTTAAAGAGAGAGATTATATATCAATACCAAATAAACTACAGATGCTACTAAGAACACTTAGCAACAGATCAACAGATACATCATAAGATATTTGCAAACGCCTGTCTGAACATAACGTAAGAGTGAAAAAAGCTTTCCTTGAACTCATCTGCTTAAAAGAGCACCCTTACAGAACAACAAACCCTGGCAAATCAGCTACATCCCCACTTTAAAAGTTTGTTAGCAAATATTGGCATGTGAGGTTGCAGTAACAGAGCTGGTTCAATAGTGGAACACACTCTTTACACTGCTGCTGGGACATGGAGCAGCTTTCAGGAAACTGCACACCCAACTTTGTGGCTGGAAAGATGAGGAGGGATCCCAAACCACTCAAGAGCCCACTGTGCTGATTTTGCACCCAGTGCAACACTGTCCCCAACTAAGAATAAACCCAAGTCGCTCCCTGGAACAAACGGCAAATGTGCTCACCCAGTACACTGTTAAGCTGGAAGCCAAACCTGCCACCTGCAGCTCCAATGTCTAGGGCAGGTGTCAAGACTCACAGAACTGTGAAGTCTGGAAAGGACCCAAAGGCCAATCTAGTCTAACCCCCTTCAATGCATGAAGCATTGGCATCACTTGCCCAATGAAATGAATGTACATGTGTCTGTGTTCCAAATTATGGACAGTCCACTTGCCCTAGACAATACAACAGTACCCACTAATTCAACCTACATATATCTGATGCATAGCCAACTCTGGGGTACCACGACATGGTGGGATATTTGCATCATGGAACCCTGGAAAACGGCTTTTATACGTAGATGTCTCAAATTGGGGGAGCTGGGGAACAAGAAGTGAAACAAACTGGTCCCCAACTCTCAACAGCAATTCTCAAGTTATCTTGTAAAAAGCTGGCTTTGTTCAGTTCTCAAGGATGATTATTATCCTGCTAACCCAACACTTAGCCTAACCTTACTAGCATAACAGCATCTCTACAAAATCACAAGAGATTGATTTTAGCTCCAAGACTCAAGATCCTTTCAACTGCATTAAATCAAGGACCTTATCTATGCAAAACCTACCCTGTGCACCATGGAGCTATAGCCCGTCATCTGATTCTATGCACATGATACAGGGAGGGCTGCTTTCCCTCAACATGTTGCCTCACAGCCCTTTTTTGTTCAATCAGCTGTCTGGCTTATCTCGTCTGCTAAGAGAATGCCAGAAAACAAGGGTTTGGCCTGTTGCAGAAGGCTTCAGAGAACATGTCCAGGCAAACTGGAAACCAAGATTTTCAAAGAGGTACGTTTTTTTGCTTAAAGCTTCTAGCAGCATCTTTGGCTACGCAAGTCAGAACAACATGGGCAATTTCAAATGTGTACCACCACTTCAGGCAACAACTTGAGAAAATTGGAAGCAAGCGTTTCCCATTCGGCCCCTTACACTTTGGGCAACGAGAAGGGCACATAAGGAGACAGCTTTTCCCGTAGCCACTAGACACTACCCATGAGATGCTACTTTGTGGTAACGGTAACCAGGTACATATATTCCCAGAGTCATCCTTAAAAAGAACAGGCAACAGTCACTAAGCATCCTTGTCTCTCCTTTGAAAGCAAGAGTTCCCTAGATTGAACTTGCAAGCCACCGCTCTGCATGCATCCCAAAGGCTGACAGCTTAAAGGAGCAACCTAAAAGTGTCAGTGAATGAATTTCCAGCTTCAATTGTGTGTGAGTGCACATATGTGTTTGAGCAGCCATGTCATAGAGATTCCTGCTTCTCCCTGCAAGATTGGCATGCATAGGCTGCGCTATTCTGTAGCTGGGAAACAGGGGGTTGTTGCAACACGCCCTGTAATACTCGAGGTGGTAGCTTTGATTCATGATACCTCCTGCTTTGCATCTTCACAAGGTGATTTATCGGATTTGCACCCCACCCTTCCTCCAAAAGGAGAATCTATTCATTACCACTGTTAAGAGGAGAGGCTTCTGCAAGCCAGCAAGGAGAATCAACAGGTCCCTCACTTTACAAGTTTCTCTCCCAATAAAAGTGATGAATCAAAACAACCAAAGTAGCAGCCCGTACCAAAATCGGGCTTGAAACCAGTATGAATGGGTCATGGTGATCGGCTTCATTCAAGCATGCCTGAAATATTGCCTAGGTTCTCTCAGGCACCTTGCTAGAATAGGGGTGCTGGCAACCGGGCAGTCCATCTTCCAAGCCTCTGGATCATGTTCCATATACTGTAGTCAAGCTAGCTCAGATATGAGAGACTGGGTACCTACACCACACCTGACTGCCTTCATTCATTGACAGTGCAACGTCCCAACTTTTAGCTAGTCTTGAAGCTCACCTCCCACGCCTGCCCTTATAAATTCTTCTGTTTGGTAAATGATTCATTCTCCCATTAAGGTTTTAAAAAAGTAATGCTGCTAGCTCTCAAGTGCTTAAAACATTTTTTGTTTATTAAAAAGGCTTTCCCTGAAATGTGACCCAACCACTGACACTTTTGATCAAATTTACACTAATGCTTTACAGCCGTACCTCTGGTTGCGAACGGGATCCGTTCCAGAGGCCTGTTCACAACCTGAAAAGAATGCAACCCGTGTCTACACACATGTGGGTCGCGATTCACTGCTTCTGCGCATGCGCAAGCGGCAAAACCTGGAAGTAACCCGTTCCATTACTTCCGGGTCGGCGTGGGACGCAACCTGAAAACACGCAACCTGAAGCAAACGTAACATGAGGTATGATTGCATTTGCATCCTACAGCATTTTATTATTTTATATTGGACACCACTCTGGTATTTATTTATTTTTATTGAGCGGCATACAAGCAAAAATTAAAATACAGTGTTCCTTGTTTTGGGACCTAATCTCACAGAATGTTTAATCTGCATCTCCAATCTTCATGACCACTGCAAGAGTTCCTCATTCGCACTACAAGTTCCCGGCCATCTGAACTCATCATCTGTGGTTGCAACAGTTCCTTGGGATCAATGGTGCCAAGAAAACTCAAAACAGCCAAGAGAGATCTGCAGCTGTTTCAGCCACTCAGCTCCAAAGACTAAACTGTGAAGGCAGCAGGAGACAGGAGCTAAAGCCAAAAGCAAGGTGACGGGAAAATGAAGGAAAGATGCAATGCAAGAGGTTCCAGGAATGAAAGCTGATTTACTGGGCCACAGAAGGCCAACACGCTTAATAAAATTATTCCCCATCCTGCACTCATCCCAGACATACAACTGACAAGCTGCTGTGCAAGTTAGGGTCCGTATAAGCATAAGTATGCTGCACAAAAGATGGTTTCTCAAGACACTCAAATTTAAACACACACCAGGTTTCTGATTTCCATGGAGATCGGCAAGTTTAATCTGATGCACACTACACAATTTCTTTCCCCTTTTACCTCCAACTCCTTACCAATATTTTTTTTTAAAGAGTATTTTTCAGGAGCGTTTCACCAAAATAATCTTCCTTATATTTAGAACTTATCCCAGGTCTAAAAACCAGGACATAACATATGCAGCCTCTATTCTTGAATAGTATTCCAGCCTTGATGAACAAAAATAGTAGCCACTGTGCTTTTTGAGGTTTGCAGAAGGAAATTTGCTTTCAGAATACACAAGCAAAATGCATCCAGCTTTTTTAAAAAATGAAGTGGAAAGTTTTCAAGGCCACTAAAGTATTGCAAAGAAGTTGGACCAGAGACTTCATCAACATGTTGGTTAGATAACAGAGAAGAAACAATTCAGCTAACAGGGCCACTCTATATTTAAAATGTGGAACACAAGCTTTCAAGTCTGAAAAAC